TGGGTGTGGGGCGAGGCAGATTAATGGCCACCTTTCTCCCGGCAGCTGATCCCATCATCCGAGCTTGTCCGCGGGGTTTCCGGAGGGGCGGCCGTCCCTCCCACCTCCCACCGTTCCACCGGCGCTGAATCCGGGTGATAAAAGCCGCGAATCCCAGTCGAAATGGACCGGGAAACGACCCGTGCCTCGTAAACGGTTCAGCGGTAACTCCATCTCGTTCTTCTTATAGCGACTATTTCCGCCTTTTCCAAATATTACGCATAGTATTTCCCACCATTTTGTTCCCTACTTTTGCCGGTCGATCAGCTGCTTTTCAAAACGCTTTTTTCCTGCTAGAGAGAAAACAGCTACCAACCATTCGCACCGCAGTACCCTCCCGGGAGTAGCTAGCGCACATGGTGACCAATTTTTTTCCAAAGACTATGATAGGTTTGCCGCTAATGACGTCAGAGTGACGTCATTTTTGCCATTTTCGACCCAAAAAAAAGGTTTCGCGGGAAGAGCTGTCAGGCCTACAGCTTTAGAGATACAGAAAAATATTTCAGACATAAAAGGTGTGGAATTATAAGAGCTACAAAACTGCTATTTCGGTTTTTCGAATTTTTTGGATTTTGACCCCCAAAAATAAAAAAATAGATTTTTTTTTAAATATAATAGCCAAAAAATCCAAAACGTTTTTAGAATTTCGAAAAAAACGGAATATATGTGATAGTCCTTACCTCCTTCTATTTACATACCAAATTTGAGATCGATATCTTTTTTTTTTGGCCAAGTTATAGCGAAAAAACTGTTCAAAATTGATGACGTCAAATTTTCAAACTCAACTTTTAGCAATTCTAGACCTCGTAGCGCAAAACAAAGACCACCATTAGACTCCCCGTGACGAGCTGCATCGAATCAATACCCATTTTATTCAAAAATATCAACTTTGAAATTTGACCTTTTTGACCTGACCTTGACCTGACCTCCACCAGCAAGTGGCCTAAACCGTACCTGATGGTCTTATAACCAACACCATTGAGTTGGAAATGAAAAACTGGCCATAAAACATGCATCGCATAACCTTAGTAAAGTTGGGCTCATGTGGTGACCCTTGGTGACCTTTGGTGACCTGACCTGTGACCTGACCTGGTATGACCAGTGACCTCTAATAGCAACATATGTACTAGACAACTGACGCCTTATCGCTGATTTTCGACAAAATGCGTTTTACTCGGTGTTATAGCGCTTTCCCAAGAAGCCCCGTGAACGGTGAAACATTTTATCTTTGACCTGACCTGTGACGTCATCGGTGACCCCGAGGTCAATGAAATTTGGTTTACATCGACAAATTTGACAGGGCTATCGAATGCCGTTTGAATTTTCCGGATCCGTCCAGTAGTTTCGGAGATACGGGGGGGGGGCAAAACAATGCCCCCCCCCCCCCCCCCACCGCGCGGAAGGTGCTGGTAGGCTCACCGCCTGCCGGGCGTTTCAATGAAATTACGCAATTCGCTGATTAGTCAATCATCTCAAGAAGCTCTGACGCAAGCTCTTCTAGCCTGGTTGGCTAATTCACCCGCAAATCTTACTCAGTACTCTTACCACTGTCTGGAAACTGAGCAAGCATTGAGGCTACGGAGGAAAACGGGAATGTATTTAGTTGTGCTTCAATTATGTCGCTATCTCTTACATATGTTCAACCAAAATGTGAAACCTGGGCAATGACCATCTTCATATCAAGCAAGGCGGCTTTCTTTCATCTCGCAAGTTTCGTCATTAGCTTGCCTGCACGGTCGGCCGTCCAATCCAATCATACGTGCCGGCCTTCACGGTTCATACTCCACCGCACAGTGCGTCCACGTGTCTCCCGAAATGCGGCACGTGCCTGGCAGTGCAGACTGCAGCGACCTGAGAGCAAATTTCAACGTTACGTGTTGAACGCGATGGCTCTACTGTGATGGCCAACAGGCTGTCGCTAATTCAGTTAACGCGTAATCAATCAACTGAGCAATCAATATTCAAATAGGCGATCTCAGAGCTGGGGACAGAAGAACAGTAGTTAGAGGGAGAGAGAGAGAGAGAGAGAGAGAGAGAGAGAGAGAGAGAGAGAGAGAGAGGGAGAGAGAGAGAGAGAGACAGACAGACAGACAGACAGACAGACAGACAGACAGACAGACAGACAGACGGAGACGGAGACGGAGACGGAGACGGAGACGGAGACGGAGACGGAGACGGAGACGGAGACGGAGACGGAGACAGAGACAGAGACAGAGACAGAGACAGAGACAGAGACAGAGACAGAGACAGAGACAGAGACAGAGACAGAGACAGAGACAGAGACAGAGACAGAGACAGAGACAGAGACAGAGACAGAGACAGAGACAGAGACAGAGACAGAGACAGAGACAGAGACAGAGACAGAGACAGAGACAGAGACAGAGACAGAGAGAAAGAGAGCAAGAGAGGAAGAGAGAGAGAGGAGAGAGAGAGGAGAGAGAGAGAGAGAGAGAGAGGAGAGAGACAGACAGACAGACATACAGACAGACAGACAGACAGACAGATAGACAGATAGGCAGCTAATAGAAAGATAATAGCGGCTAAGGGAATGATAAGAAGGGCAGAACGAGATAAGAGTAGTTAAATCAGATGATTTATTTGTTGATACTTATAGTCGTAACAGCCGCATTAACTTTGGATCGTAAAATTGTGCTTGTTTCGACTTTCGTACTTGAATAGCACAACTAGCACAATTGTGCATTATGCAATATGCATTGCGTTCTACACAAGATATTATCTGGAAATCCAGGCAGAAAACTTCTTGCTATTCTGGGAAAGGTACTCACAAATTGATAAGCGACAGAGTTTTGAACTCAGAACAAAGTTGGGGAGCGAGCTGGAAAATCAGTATCACATTTGAGCCGGCCGCTCGCGGTCCAAACGTAAACGCTGGGCACGAATGTCGCCGAATCGATACCACCAGTATTGGAGGGAGCGGCCAGTCAGCGGCTGCCTAGAATCGGCATCGGAAAATGGAATATCTGGTTCCACTGGCAGTGTCCTGCGTCGCCAAAGAAATTCCATTTTGCAATGGTCTAAATTTAAAAAAGAAAATGCGAGTGAAGAAATACTTTTCACAATAATTATGATATTAGTTACGCACTAACTGTATCTCTATCTATGTATGTGTTTTGACAGGAGTGAAAAGCTTATGGGAGCACACATTTTTAAACGAAAAGAGATAGAGAAAGAAAGGAGAGAGATAGATAGAGAGAGAGAGAGAGAGAGAGAGAGAGAGAGAGAGAGAGAGAGGGGGAGAGAGAGAGAGAGAGGGGGATAAAGAGAAAGAGAGAGCGAGAGAATGTTCAGGTTTTAGTTCGCGCTTATATTTTAATGTAAGATGATTACATACATTTGTAGCATCATTTGTAGGGATGCAATATTCGCCAGCAAATCGAAATGCCTTTAGTTTCCCTAGGAACTTCAGTGCAGCCGGCCACCGTAGTATGCCGAAGCTCATCGAAAACTTTCACCTCATGTTAGCATATTTTAATGAGATTCGTTTAATGTGCAAATGACTCTACTATGGAAGCGATAGAAGTGCCAGCCCTACTATGCCTCCGGAATAAAATCATTCAGACTTAATGGAATTTGCCTACTGAATAACATTAGCGAAAACTTAACTAACTAGTGGGGTTATGAAAATAAACCCGTAGTGAACTTCACTAAATTTATTAGGGCTTCTGATCAACTATTGGTTGATGTCGTTCATAGGAACAGGCTGGATAGAACAATGCTGCGAGAAAAACTTTATTCATACGCGGTACTCCCGGTTCATTGGATACGCAACACATGACAATCACGGCTAACCATTATTCCCGATTGACCCGTTATGCATGTCTCTATGTAACTCAACAATCCGACAGGCCAGTCACATAATCACATTACTGCGAGGGGTCGGTCGGGACCGTGCTCTCTGGATGTCCGACCGTCCCGGCAGGACCGGCCGTGCTGACAACCTCTGCTCTGACCGATATTGAACAAGCCGGTGGCACTAGCTCGTCCCGGATTGAAACAGCAACGCCACACAACGGTGGCCGTCCATCACGTTCACGACACTGGCCGCTCGACACATGTCACCATCGATGGGAATTTAATTAAAATGGAGAGTGGGCCTCGAAAACAAAGCTCCGAACAATGTTAGCTGAACGGTGAAGTGTGATCCCAAAGTAGCCATTGAGATGTGGATGTTTATCTTGAACTTCGAACTGGAGAAATAAATGTTGTAAATGTTATGCTGCGATCTCATAAATCGTTACCAACAAACGGAATTGATGAGCATACGTAGACAGGCAAAATTATTCTGCATGATCTTCTTACTTCTTTACAGACAATTGATAGTTGTAGCATACTAAGCCGCAAAAGCTTTCAGAGGCAATGAAGCATGCGCGATCAAACGTCCACAGTGCAAACCAATGTTTGTGAATTGTGACTTATCAACCAAATTTCTTTGAGCTGTCCCATTGCCGTCCGGCATCGGAAAAAAGAAAACATATAAAAATAAAAGCAACTCCATCAGCCTCGTATACCATCTCTCGTAACTTCTGTTCTCCTCTTGAACACACCAAAGTACTCCATTCTGCTGTATCGACCCTGTATTTGCATACTGACAACATGAATGGTTTCCGATGGCGGGGTTACTCGCGGATGGTATTCCTCTACGCATCATTGAAGCTTCGGTACGGCACGATTTCCGTTCATCATATTCGAGTGAATGCACAACAGACGCTGCCTTGTAGCGGGGGTAAATCTCATCAAGCTCCATCAAAGCGTTGACTGGCGGCCCTTGCCCGGGGCGGCTCTCCGTTCAGCCGCTGTCGGCACCGGCTGAATGGCCGCATCATTCATGGTATATGATGTCAGTGCAGGGATTGAGTGGCTTTTAACTGGCCGGAGGAGCCGGCCGGCCGCCGTCGGGTCGTCATCCTGTGCCGGTGCCGATTTCACCATCGATCGCCCCCCGCAGAGCCCAGTTCCGACAATCTGTCTGTCTTTTCAGCGCCGACGCCGCCGTCCCAGCCACTATTAGCCTGATGAGACCTACCGGACCGCCGACCGGGCGACGCAGCCACCAGCGAGCCGGCGCGCCAGGTCACCAGAGGTCACCAGAGGTCAGCCGGCGGTGATGGCGGCCGGTGACCGGTCAGGCCGGGTCACACGACTCTGCGGCGGCGGCCGACTGCTGCTGCTAGCCGCTGTGATGGCTGCGCCCGCCCTGGCTGACGCCTGTCCCGTCTCATGTCACTGCCGCTGGAAGGGTGGCAAAAAGACGGTGGAGTGCGTCGACCGCCAGCTCGAGTCGCTACCGACGACCGCCGATACCGACACCCAGGTACTGGACATCTCAGGTCACGCGCTGACCGAACTGGCGTCGCGCGCCTTTCAGCGGCACGGCCTGCTCGCGCTCCAGCGGATCTACGTGTCCCGTGGAAGACTGGAGAGGGTCGGCCAGCGGGCGCTCAGTGGTCTGACGAATCTGGTGGAGCTGGACCTCAGCGAGAACCGACTCACGGCCGTTCCCGGCGCCGCGCTGCGTGATGTGCCCGCTCTCCGTCGGCTTAGTCTCAGTGGTAACCCTCTGGAGCGAATTCAGCGTGGTGACCTAGGAGCAGTGCGAGAGCTCACCGCGCTGGAACTGGCGCACTGCCAGCTGCGCATCGTGGAGAAGGGTGCCTTCGCCACGCTGCTGAGGTTGGAGAAGCTGCAGCTGCAAGGAAACCAGCTAACCACACTAGCTGCTGTGGACCTATCGCTTCATCTGCACAACGTTCAGCTGCAGAGTAACCTGTGGCACTGCAACTGTCGGCTTCGTGAGCTGCGACGGTGGCTGAGGCAGTACCCAGTACCACTGGCTGTGCCGCCACGCTGCTCTGCCCCTCGTCGCCTCTCTGGCCGCGCCGTGCACAACACCAGCGCTACGGAACTGGCCTGTGCACCCGACATTCTTCCCTCCGACCGGCTGTTCGAGGTGTCCCTGAACAGCAGCGTGACGCTCAGCTGCGCCGCGGAGGCTGATCCTGCCGCTGAACTCTCCTGGTCGTTCAAAGGTCACATACTGAAAGACGACCCTGAAGGCGTGGACGGCGGCCTCTTCATCACGGAGAGTTCTGAGCTCGGTGTGGATGGTGGAGGAGCGGTGCGACGCAGTCAGCTAGTGATCGCCAGTGCCGGGGAACACGACCACGGTGTGTTTCGGTGCCGCGCGGCCAACGCAGCCGGCGCCTCGACGGCCGATTTCAGAGTGAGCGTGCTCCTGCCTCCCGACACCCGCAGCTCAGGCACCGCTCCAGCCAGCCGCTCACATCTAGCTCTACCCGTTGGAGGTTCGCTGGTGCTGCTGGCCGCTAGTGCGCTGCTGCTACTCGGCGCGCTGGCCGTCCGTCGCGGCCGTCGACTTCGACGCAGACGCAAGTTCTCCACCAGCCGAGACTCGGGGAGTGGGGAGAGCGCGGGGTCGCCGACGGGAGGCGGCGGAGGTGTGGGGAGCCGGGCAATGTCGAGGGACACTACGCTGACAGACTGCCACGAGCATCAGCTACATGAGCTGCCTCGTCACCCGCCGCACTGTGCTCGGGAGCGGGGCCCGGATGTGTTGTGTGACGCTAGTGAAACGGTGACGGCTGTGACTGTAGAGCGAGACGCTCCTCCGCCCATGGAGCCAGTAGTGAGAGCGGTGCAGGACCTCTCCTGGCCACCAGCGTGGACGCTCCACCCCACCATGTCCGCGTCTCACGGGAACATTTATGGTGAGTCATTGCTGCGGCGAAATAGTTTATCTAGTGGTTCATACCACCGACATGTGTGTGACGGGGCGGGGGCCGATAGACAAGTACCACTCGGCTGGCGCAGTCTGCCCCGGCCTGCCCGGCCGCGGCCGCCGCCACCCGCCGCCGGTGGCTCGCCCGAACAGTGGCGGCGCTCAATGCTCGCGGTGCCGCAGTATGTCTCCGGTTCGTCGCAGTTTGTCGCCGGTGCGCCGCAGCTCGTGGCAGTGGACCCTGCTCGTGTGTGTAGCTGTATGTTAGGCCCGTCATTGGAAGGCCGCCTCTGGCAGCTGCCGGCCTGTCACCCTGCCGCGCCACCGGCCTGTCATTCTACCGCGCCACCAGCCTGCCATTCTGCCACTCTGCCGGCTGTCCCGGCGCCCCCTCCGCCGCCCTGGCCGGCGCGGACTCACTGTGTTGGCCCGTCTCGGCCGCGCTGCCGCTGCCTGGCGCCGGGACCGACCTCGACAGGCCCGCTGGCACCTCCAGCCGGGTTCGGCGACGAACTGCCGGCACCGGCTGCGCTCAAGTGCGGACCGCCGCCGCGGTGGGCGGTCCCCGGCGGTCGCGGGCAGCCGGGGGTGGCTCCGTCGGCCGTGTTCGCTGCCAGACTCGTGGCAGCTGAAAAGCCGGCCGACAGCCCTGACGAGGGATATGTCGAGTCTGTGCAGGACACGTGAGACACGGACCGTCGCCGATGGTGGACTACTGCCACGAGGACTCGTCACGTGTATTCTGTGATTGTGCTAATTTGGGAGGCGGCTACCGATCACTGGAGTGTGAAAATCACATCGTGTTTGCCACAGTGCTCTAACACAGGCGTGATATTCGTTCTCCGATTGTCGGTCATGCGAGAAGGACGGACATGCGTCGCAGATGTGTGATTGGACCGCCCTACCTTTGCTTGTTTCTACAACTCATGAACGACAGATCGACTGCTGCTGAATAATTACCATAGCCTGTAATGTGAGACAGTCGTCACGAGCTGTCCTGGGGACACACTCAGGCTGATCGTCCACCAGCTGAATTTATATAACATTGCTCATGCATGAAAAATGTTCATAATTATAAATAGATGTTAACTGTTCACCTGTCAGGTCGTACATTTGCGTTATGGGCCACCAGAGATATATTTGCAGGGCCAAGCAGTTGGAAGGAAATGTCACTGTGAGTTGGAGGCACGTGGTGAGTATGTTACATGGAAGGTGGTTGGCAGATGTGTGTGTATGTTTTTGCATAATAAATTTATTCAACACGTTATTTTCTTCGCCTGTTCACAACAATGGAGACTAAGCTGTGACGATTGTTGTAACAAATGCACATCCTTTGACGACATAGTGTTCATAAATGCTACCCGTTGCCAACAAAATTCCTGGCTGACAATAATCTCCGTCTCTCCGATGCTCGCAGGCTGCGCACCGGCATGGCCGCTCGGATCCGCGGGGTAGTTAGACTAGCCCGCCATGCATTGGTGTGCTGCGGTACAGCCTGCCCGCGCAGTGGACCTAGACTCAACCGGCTGGGAGGCAGTCGCCCAAATCACCGCTGTTCTGTCCCATCCACGGATGTGGCGCGTTTGGTGATCTGGCCGACGGGGACATTAGCAGGCAGCGCACATATCATAACTCTACCTGACAGCGGCAGTTTCCGCAAACGTCCCATCGTCAATAACCCGTGAACCATTCACTTTCACGTAGCCTGCGCCAATCACGTCTCGTCGGCAGCCAGTGCCGTCCGCGCCAGTTGATGTTGAGCGAACGTGACCAGAGTGAGCGACAAAAATGACGCGCAGAGCAGAACGGATTTCGCTGACGCGATTGCGATCTCATGTGCGCACCTGATGTGTTATATCTATAAAGTCAGCGATTTGTTTCACTTAAATGCACTGAAAGATAGTACCTTAGTTCTGCAAGTGTCAACAAACTGGTTTATTTTTAGTTGACAAAATATGCGCAATTTTAACCCAACGGCCTAATGAAACTAAGAAATTTAGCGCGAAACGTCTGCCAAGTAGGTATGGTAGATGGCGCATATTTCCTAGTAGTAAGCACCGATATGGCTGAAAGAAGCTTTGTTTAACTTTTAATCACATATTTGCTGAAGGAAAATGCATGGGGCCCTCTTAAGTAATCTTTTTAGATCAAGAAAATTTTAAGAGCATAGACAGCTTTTGCAAAATTGCAGGGGAACTCAGATTTGCATTTTTCAATAAAAAATGATCTAACGAAGGGTGTTTTAACCATTGAACACAAACCTTCGGCTATCGATGCGACACCGCATATATCAGCAATCAGAATCGCTTGAGTTATCATAATGGTAACGATTATGCAGTTCACTGACAGAAATGACATCAAATAGCCCGAAAGAAATGGACGTGCTGTTTGAGCACATATTTTTGTCAATCCGACCGGGCTGGCATAAGAGCCCAGTGATCGATAGTTTCTTGGGTATCGGTGTCAGTGGTGAGTGGTCTTTGGAGAGCATCCGGCCAGAGACCTGTAACTTATCAATAACTGAGCAGCCTCTAACTTATAAGGCAGCGTCGAGTGATATAGTGATTGCCTGGCGGTCCGCTTTTAGCGCGTCCATCAGCGGAGATGGGTGCGGTGAGACGGCCGAGCAGAGACTAACAAGACCGCCGAGCTTATCAACTCATTGCCGTGGAATAAAACACCGAACTATTAGTAATTACGTCGTAACAATGCAAGGAAAAGACCAACCTGACAGGCAGGCCAATGAAGTACAGTAGAAGTACTAATCTGCTTACACGCATAGAATTATTATCAATGTGGCCTTGACTGCTTCCACCTCACCTCAATGGCAGCCACAGGCCACAGAGGTGCAGGCACTGTCTGCCCAGACCAGGTATTCACAGCTCGGAGGGTACCGCTCGGAGGGTACCGCGTAACGCTCCTCGGTAGCGTTCTGTGCACGTGCTGACTGGAGTGGTGCGGCGCGGGGTCGCCAGACGACCAGAAGCACTCTCAGCCAGGAACGTGCTCACAGTACAGCGGTGCCGAGCGTCGAGTGACCAGGTCCCTGGATACGAATAATACCGCTCGACGGGACATTAATGATTTGAGGTGGGTAAGTAAGTGGTAGTGGTGGACTGTTCAGCGCCACTGGTGAACAGCTCAAGACTCCAAGGGCACCGCTGTCTAGGCAGAGAATGAAGACAACTAGCGTTAAATATAGATATAATAATGCGTTTTTGCTTTGAGTACTTGCTACGACAGATGCAAATATTCTGAGATTATTCTATCGAATAATTGGCTTTGAGATAAAGCGATTTAAAGGCTATTTGTTGTACCAAATTAGTTGCAGTGATGTGGAACTTGTTTCACCTTCAAACAGAGCATCTTGCAGCATTCTAAAATCGAGCGTAGTTTCGTGAAGCAATCAGCAAGCGTGGCGATGTCATGAAACTTTAACTAGCTACTGCTGACTTCAAAAGAACGAATAAGGAAGCCCACTGCGCGACTAGCTCTCTGACGATTTCAGACGTGCGGCGCAGACGTAAATTTCGTATCTAACGATATGCCTGGGTTGCTCATTTCACTCACAGAGTCCGACTCGACGGCAGCAATGCATACATATCCTGGATGAGAGCATGCTGGAGAGTAAATGTCACCAACTTGCACCTTCGAGGTTTTCCCGGCGGCCCAAGTGGGAATATTTCTTAACACAAGACGATGCTTGAGGTCAACTGGAAGCAAAAATCATTCAAGTGGGGAGTTACCAGGGGAGTTCCGATCGTTACGATTATGAATCTCATATGAGGGGTAGGACTTTTTCCTGTTATGAAAAAAATTTCGACTTATGAAAAACTACGACTGGATGAGTACACAATACATAATAAAATCGCACGATTATGTACCTATGTCAGCATCACTTCAATATGCTCAGCCCAATATCGAGAAACAAAAAGAGAGAGAGAGAGAGAGAGAGAAAGAGAGAGAGAGAGAGAGAGAGAGAGAGAGAGAGAGAGAGAGAGAGAGAGAGAGAGAGAGAGAGAGAGAGAGAGAGAGAGAGAGAGAGAGAGAGAGAAAAAGGAAGAGAAAAAGAGAGGGAGAGATAATGGTATTACAAACCAGATCTGAGAGTAAAAGGGTGCGGTTTCTTTGTAAACAGTCCGCTCTCAATTCGGTCTAACTTATGTAATGTAGGAGCCAGCTTCGGCTAATGTATCTTGCAAGGCAAAGAAGTTTGTAAAAGACTCTCTGGCACAAGAAGATCGGAAAACTCTCGCCAGAGCGATTTCAAGTAATTAACGTTGATGTCATGAAGAACAAGTTGCACGGCTTTTAAGTGCTAAGATTAAATTTCAGGAAAATAGGAGCATGAACAACGTATTCGAATCACATATAAAGGAAATAGTTCACTTTTAACATGGGATTTTGAACTGGAATAGCAGTTCCGTAGCTTTAGCTGAGGCAAGCACAAATCAGGAGCTTTTACGGCCTAACGATCACCCTAGGCAAATATATTCCATTTCTCGTCCCGAACAAAGGTGCCTTGCTGAGGAGTGTGTGCCTTGCGGAGGTCATTTCCCTCTTTTAAAACTGAAGAGTTCTTCCTATATTAAAATATTTAAAATAATATTTTTATAAAAAGTTTTATTATCTTTGCTGATCATTTTGAGCATAAAAAAATGTACCTAAATCCATTGCAAAATACTAATTTTGTTAAATTGAACTATTCCCTTTAAAGCAATTCCATAGGGGAGAGTGGGGCAATGGCGGACGGTGGGTAATGCCGGCCACCCATCTCTAGTGAGTACTTTGTCCATCACTAATCAGCTGATGTTGTTTACATTTCAGTTGAGCGCCATTCTAGCACGTGGTGCAAGTTTGTCACGGTAGCTCCATTATTTTCATTTTTATAGCGTTAAATGTGTTTTTCGTATCTGATTTTTAATTTTTGTTGCATCTATTTGCTGACTGTGAAATGTGTTAACGCATTTTCAGAAGTGGTGCTTTGCAATGACCTTCAATTAAGCCTTTCTTAGGCGACTGCTGGATGTGAGGCGTTTGCGGCGCAATGCCCTTGACTGCTGCCTGCTTTCTTAAAATAAAGCTGACCTCGGGGTAATACCGGACACGTGTCCGGAATGACTCCACGCGATTTTGTTTGCGACTTCTGTCGTTAAAGCTCAACATTTCGGGTTGCTGTGTTTACGGCTGTATTAGTTTGCTTGCTGTGTTTACGGTTGTGTTAGTTTGCTGCTCTGTTGGCGCCGCGCTGTTATGTTGCAGCGAGTGCAGTGTTGTGTTGCAGTGCAGTGTACTGTTAACTGCTGAATACAGTTGTCGTTTCTTAATTCTCACTTAAACTTCCATCGAAAGAACGGTTTAAGGACGAATACCAGTGACGATATTTCGACTTTTGTGCTATTGCACTTAGTGGCCGGCATTACCCCTCGCTTTTTTGCACCTCCATTTTTCACCACATTTTTGCGTAGGCTCTGAATCTTTCATCAGTGATCTGAGATACTAAAACTGGGTGCTATCTGAAAGCCTATTCCTTTGGCTATAACCACAGTCAAAATCACCATAAAATAGCTTCAAATAGCTAAGCTATTGAGCAAAATGCTTATGGTGTCGCCATTGCCCCACTCTCCCCTATAGCTATGTTAACCTTCGCCCCAGTGGGGGGGGGGGGGGGCATATGTTACCACCCTGTCGCGTTTTTTGCGTGTAAATAAAAAACCGCGGCGCTTAGCGCCGCACCGCTTGGGGTAGCTTTTGGCACATCAATTTTGGATAATGTGTGAAATTTTTGACCCCAGGTCATGTCAGGTCAGGTCACCAGGTCAAGTTAACTGACCAAGCCTAAAAAAAGTTTGCAATCATGTCCAGCCTGCAGTGTTTGTCAGAAAGGTTTCAAACTTGGTGGATTGCATGCTGTTATGGGCGCCTACAATTTGTATATCTCGGATTTTTTATATCCGTGACCTAAGGTCAGGTCAGTGGCGTGACCTTTCCATTACAAGTCAATGGAGAAAAATGAAAATGCCTCTAGATCCGTGTGTACACATCGGAACAGTCCAAATATTTCAGAATCACAATGATTTAGTCCACTCGTGATGACCAAGGTGTCATTTTTGCTGATAGCCTCTAGACAGGTCATCCGAGGACCGAGGTCACTTGAGGCTACAAACAGTTGTTTGCCAATAACTCGCGATTGGAAAGAGATAGAACGCTGGGGATGGTCTCATTGTGTTTGTCTTGTTGAGACGCATCGACTGATATGC